CAGGCCCCGAAGCAGTAACAATACGCTCCAAGGAAGATCGAAGAGCCTGTCGAATGTACGCTCAGCCGCCTCAAAAGTACTTGGAGGACAATTACGCAATGCAAGTAGAGTTTAGAAACTCCTATACATGCCCTAAGTAACAACAGCTCACACTAAGGATCATCAATCATAGCAACCTTATCCATAAGCGCAATTGTCTTGGTCACCCTCTACATCACCGGCTCATCACTAAAACCAAAATCGGAACTAGCGGGACCACCAAGCAACTTAACACCACACAAAGGTCGAGCAATATTAGGTGGGAAGACACCCACAAGCCTGCTTCGAGGGTCTTCCGTAGGCCAGAAAACTTAAGTTTTTTCCACGTTAAGATGTAGCTCAGAACGATGCCCTTCCTCCATAATCAACTGCAAAACCTTCCCCACCACCAACGTGTCCCCAATAACAGTGTCGCCATCCAAATACCAAGCCTGAAGACATACATCAAAAGTGTTTCTGATTTTACACACCAGGGATTGTAAAACTAAAGCAAAAGGCAAAGGACCAAGGGGATCACCCTGCTGCACCCCCTGAGACGACCATAAGGTTTGGTCCCCATAGTACAATCTGACTGGATTAGAATAATAGAATTCAACCAATCGCGAAACGCCCGAACAACGGCGACGAACCTCACGTAACATGACCGAACGATCAACTAGATTGAAGGAATTTTGAAAATCAATTAACAACGTAGAAAGACCAACATCAGAACCACGATCCTCAATCAACCGATTCACTGCATGAAGAATTTCCTCGCCACTCGAAGAAACCCCAACACCAAATTAAAGACCATCAAAGTAACTTCCTAAAGACTAGCCAACCATAACGGCACCCACCTTTAAAAATTTGACGCCGATAAACCGGGCTTGACAAGTGGTGTAAAAGGAGCACTAGCAATAAACTCTCCCAGTTACATAGGACATCTTCCATTTAGAAAGCGATTAACTACCCCAGAAATAGAGTCAACTAACTCATCTGTACATCCACGGCAGTACCACTCAAGCAATCCATAAGGTGCTTAGCACGTAAACCGTCCCTACCACATGATGTGCCACGGGGAAAACTCTTAATCCGATCCAAAACAACAGCAGAAGTAAATGACTCAAACTTTTCCTAGCTAGGTGAAATTCCCATGGACTCCCATATGCATCAATCAATTTCCACCTGAAAAATTCACCTGTTTACCATAAATGGTAAACAGGGCAAAACCAAAACAAAAGCACGTATTAGCAAGATATGCTAAGTAAGTCATGCATAAGATAAGTAAAACGTAATTTAGATCATTCACGTTTAATTTATAAAAGAAATACCAATGCCGTATTCAATAGAACTTTTCCAATCCAATTCTTTAAATTCAAGTTAAAAACTCAATCGATTCATTCCAAACCAATTCCTCACTAAGTGTGAACACCCCCTAAGTGGTTTGCTTTATAATCAAAGGCCAAACTTGAGGAAAGACTAGGTCATGCAAAGTCCATAGTCTTCTCTAATCTGTTCCCTAAGTGGGATTCATAATACATCGATTGATTTGCGTAAAAGCTCCTTTTTAAAATCCGTTACACTTGCATCAAAATAAATTTGTAAATCTTTTCCAATAATTTCCAATCACAATTTAAGGCCTCTTTAATTTAAATCCAAATCATTCAATTCAATCTGACATAATTTCATAATTTATTACGGAACATAATATCATAAATTCATACAGAACATAAAACATAATTTCATACGGAATAAAATGTGATTTGATACGGAACATAATAATTGATATGTCGTGTTTTGTGTATATTATTTGGCTTATTTTTAGTTAGTTTTGTTAGTTTAGTTGAGTATTTGAGTCCGTTTTGGCGTATTTTACTTTAGTTTGGATAATTCGATGCTTTTATGGGTAGTTGTGTTGTTTTTGATGAATTTCAGGAATAATGGAACTAATTTGGATGAGTTATGGATCCATGAAGCAAGCTAAGGCCCATGAAGTTGAAGAATTGAAGAAAAGGCCCTTTTAGAGGTAGGCACGACCGTGCCTACTATGAGGCACGTCCGTGCCCAAGTAAAGAAGCAGGCACGTCCGTGCCCAGCAGTTAGGCACGTCTGTGCCTGGAAGACAAAAGCTGCAACAATTTTGCAACGTACAGAGGCAAGTTCGTGCCTATGGAGAGACACGTCCGTGCCTATGGAGAGGCACGTCCGTGCCTCCTGGGATTCTTGTGCGCCAAGGCTTAGCCGATTTTCTTATCTTTTTGGGCATTTATAAATACTTTTTTAGCCTTGGGATATTCATTAAGTTTATATTATTTTTCAATTCCTATTATTAAGAACTAGTTCTCCATTATTATTTTCCAAGTTTTTATAATTCAAGATTCAAGCTTTCTACTTTCAATTTTATTCAAGATTTGGTATTTATTTTTCATCCTTTGTTATTTAATTATATATTCATTATTTATTATTGTTTTTGTTTCATTAATCATGTGTGAGTAGATTCTTTAATCCAAGGTCTAGTGTAGCCATATTATTATTGATGCATGAATTAAATCTTTAAATTCTTTAACAACTTTAACAATTGAATTGCTAAATTGATTGTGATTATGCCAATGCTAGATTAGACGTAATTTTAGTATTGCGATTATTTCATTGTTTCTATCACAGCGAGAGTTGGGTATAAACGGATTTGAGTAAATTAATTTAGGGTTTGATTCATAACACGAGAGTAGTTATGTTTGATAATTGGGAAGTTAGAGTAGTGTGTTTAATGTCTTTAATATGCATGAGACCATGAGAATAGGATTGATTGTATGTTAGGGAAGCCATTGATACTCGAGAGAGATCCTTGGTAATTATTAGGGTTTACTTTTCCCCGATCGATCGAAATCGTATGTTAAGGGTAGAATTACAATTGCATCGATAATAGTTGTGGTGAAGCTAGATCTTGGATGTTTTTAATTGCTTGATTTAATCATCTTAATTAGTTTATTTTTGAATTTTTCCTAAATTTTAGATCCTTAGTTATTGATTATAATTGATTCTTGCTTAGTAGAAATTCGAGTCTATTTAATTATTTCTGAACCTTAGTCTCTTGGGATCCGACCCTTACTTGTCAGTCTACATTAGTATTGGTCTGTTAGGTTATTTTTTATAGGTAAGCGATACGCCTACCAAATTTTGGCGCCGTTGCCGGGGACTAACGGTTTCATTTGATTATTTGTGATTCTTTTTTGCTAGGCTTGTTTCGTTGCTTCGGCTATTTTCCCTTGTGTTTTTGATACATTTCTCTAGTTTTTCTTATGCATGCCCATACGTAGCTCAGGTTCAGAAGATCTTGAACCATTTGATTATGAGATCGAGGCAACTATAAGAAGAAGGAGAACAAGGAACAGACGCAGGAGAAACATGGTAGACCAACCAACGAAATCCCTCTTGGAGTACGGTATTCCTGATACGACTACCGGAGTCTTTCAAGCATCATAAGACCACCCGTCACGGCTCAGCACTTCGAGCTCAATCCACAATTCATACAGTTCATCTCCAATGATTCATTCGCAGGGCTACCACATGATTTCCCCGTAAGTCATATAGATAGATTTTTGGAGAAATGTGACACTATGAAGTTGAATGGTGTTATAGATAATGCAATTAGACTACGCCTTTTCCCTTTCTCACTTCGAGACAGGGCAAATGAGTGGTTAAGAGATGAAGGCACTGGCTCGTTCGATACATGGGACAAGTTAGTGAAGGCCTTCCTAGTGAAGTTTTTAGGGAATGAGAAGACTGCAAGATTGAGGAATGAGCTACAAAATTTTAAGCAGTCAGATGATGAGTCTCTCTATGAGGCTTGGAGGAGATTTAAAAGATTGCAGAGACAATGCCCTCACCATGGCATTCCAGATTGGATTTTGATGCAGACCTTTTACAATGGCATGACTCATGAGTTCCGTATTTACATAGATGCTACGTAAGAAGGTTCTCTCTTGACAAAGAACCCCACTGAAGCTAGGGAGCTCATAGAGAAGATGGCGGCTAATGATAACTATCATCCTGGAGGCCGAAACACTGTGAAAAAGGGAGGTAAACTTGATGTTGATTCTTTAACTATGCTTACTAGTTCTATGCAAGCACTAACAAGCAGGTTTGATAAGTTCTAAGTAGGAACTTCTAACACCCCACAGGAGTTGTGTCAGTTATGTCATGTGCAGGGTCATGTTGCTCTAGATTGCCCACAAATTTCGCAGAATACGGAAGAGATGTCAATCGAGCAAGCCAACGCTTTCTACTCCTCTAACCCAAAGAGGCCTTATGACCCTTATTCCAACACCTACAATGAAGGATGGAAACACCATCCTAACTTCTCATACAAAAATTCCCAAGCACAACAAAACCCTCCACCACCACCTCCACCCAATACCTACAACCAACCACCACCTAGTTTCCAACAGAAAACACCCAATGCTCACCAACCAATGCAACAACAACCTCAGAAATCAAGCCTAGAGGTGACATTAGAGAGCTTTATAACCGCAACAAACAGTGCCATCCAACATCAAAATAGCTCTATCCAATAGTTGCAGGCTCAGGGTAAACTTATGGAGAATCAGATAAGTCAATTGGCAAACCAATTTAGCCTAGCCCTAAAGACCCCAGGAACCTTCCCAGGCCAGACTAAACAATCTCAAAAAGGCCAAATGAATGTCGTCACCCTGAGGAGTGGAAAGCAGTTGGAAGATCCTCCCACCAAGGAGCCATCAAGAGAGGTCATTGAAGAAGTGGGTGCAAGTGAAAAGGAAGTAGAAGATGCTAGGGTCGAGGAAGCATCAAAGGAAGCACCACCAAAGCCACCTGCTCCATATATGCCTAAGGTTCCTTTTCCTCAAAGATTAGCACAAGCTAAACTTGAGAAAAAGTTTACTAAGTTCCTCGATGTTCTTTAAAAGCTTCATATTAATATTCCATTTCTAGATGCCATATCTGAGATGCCTTCTTATGCAAATTTTTTAAAAGATATGCTATCTAACAAGAGGAAATTAGAAGAGAATACTACAGTTGCTTTGAATGCAGAGTGCAGTGCTATTTTCCAGAACACTCTCCCTAAGAAATTAGGAGATCCAGGTAGTTATTCAATTCCAGTGAAGCTTGGAGATATTGAGATCAATAGGGCACTATGTGATCTAGGTGGAAGTGTGAGCCTCATGCCACTGTCCATATGCAAGAAGCTGCAGATGGGTGAACTCAAACCCACACGCATATCTCTGCAACTTGCAGACAGGTCAGTGAAGTTTCCTTTGGGTGTACTTGAGGATGTACCCCTCCGAGTAGGTAAGTTTTTCATTCCATGTGATTTTGTTGTGATGGAGATGGATGAGGATGTGAATGTTCCTATCATACTAGGTAGACCTTTCTTATCTACTGCAGGTGCAATTATAGACATGAAGAAAGGTAAGATTACTTTTGAAGTAGGTGATGAAAAATTGGAATACTCATTTTTGAATGTTATGGGTGCTCCTTCTATGGGAGACACTGTTTGTCAGGTTGATGTGCTCGATGAGCTGCAGAATGAGCAACTTCCCTTGAATCAGAATGATGATGCTCTTGAACAAGTGCTTATAGGGAAGGAAGATTATAATGGAGATTGGCAGTCTAAGGAGTATACTAGGTTACTTGATGAAACAAAGGCCGATCCAAATCAGAACCCGATCAGAGAGACATTGGAAGTAATGAGTATTGGGGAGAGTTCTAAGCCTCCCGAGGTAGAGTTGAAACCCCTCCCCTCTAACTTAAATATGCATATCTTGGTCCAAATAATTCATATCCCGTTATTGTCAATGCTGAACTCAAGGACACAGAATTGGAGCAATTGCTCAACGTTTTGAAAACATATAAAAGTGTCATTGGGTACACCATTGATGATATCAAGGGCATTAATCCTTCTTTCTGTATGCATAAGATCATTCTTGAAAACGATCATGCCTCTTCTGTAGAACCTCAGAAAAGACTTAATCCTAATATGATGGAGGTAGTTAAAAAAGAGGTTCTGAAATTGCTTGCTGCAGGTATAATCTACCCTATCTCTGATAGTAAGTGGGTTAGCCCTGTACAAGTAGTACCAAAGAAGGGAGGAATGACCGTTGTCAAGAATGACAAGGGTGAACCAGTCGCCACTAGAACTGTCACAGGATGGCAAATGTGTATAGATTATAGAAAGTTGAATAAGACCACCCTAAAGGATCACTTCCCCTTACCTTTTATTGATCAGATGCTTGAAAAGTTGGCAAAGCATTCCTTTTTCTGTTACTTGGATGGATATTCAGGTTTCTTTCAAATTCCCATCCGTCCCTGTGACCAGGAAAAGACTACTTTCACATGTCCATATGGCACTTTTGCATATCGCAGGATGCCATTTGGATTATGTAATGCTCCTGCCACCTTTCAGCGTTGTATGATGGCAATTTTCTCAGGACTCATAGAAAACTCTATGGAAATATTTATGGATGATTTCTCTGTCTATGGAACATCTTTCGATGTATGTCTTGAAAACTTGAAAAAGGTGCTCCAAAGATGTAAAGAAGTTAATCTAATCTTAAACTGGGAGAAATTCCATTTTATGGTACAACAGGGAATTGTCTTAGGTCACGTCGTGTCTAATAAGGGTATTGAGGTTGATAGAGCTAAAATAGAGGTCATAGAGCGCTTACCACCTCCTAACTCTGTAAAAGGAGTTCAAAGTTTCCTTGGTCACGCAGGTTTTTATCGGCGTTTTATTAAGGATTTTTCGAAAATTGCTAGACCTTTAACTGAGCTATTGGCCAAGGATGTCCCTTTTGTCTTTTCTGATGCTTGTCTTGAAGCTTTTGACAGGTTGAAGGAAGCTTTAATCACTGCTCCAGTCATGCAACCCTCAGATTAGAGTCCGCCGTTTGAAATCATGTGCAATGCTAGTGATTTTGCGGTAGGAGCCGTGTTGGGGCAAAGGAAGGAGAAGAAGCTCCATGCCATATACTATGCTAGCAAGACTTTGAGCTCTGCTCAAATGAATTATGCCACAACTGAAAAAGAAATGCTAGCAGTTATTTATGCTATTGATAAGTTTCATTCTTATTTGGTAGGTTCTAAAGTCATCATACATACAGATCATGCAGCATTGAGGTTCTTGATGACCAAAACACATGCCAAGCCTAGGTTGATCCGATGGATTCTACAGCTACAGGATTATGACATTGAAATCAGGGATACCAAAGGGACAGAGAACGTTGTTGCAGATCATCTTTCCCGTCTTCTCCTTCACCCCGAGGATGGAGATGATACTCCTTTTGATGATTCTTTTCCTGCTGAACATTTACTAGCTTTATTACAGACTGAATCCCCTTGGTTTACTGACGTAGCTAATTTTCTCTCAACAAGTACAATGCCTCATGGCTACTCTTCTCAACAAAGGAAGAAATTTCTTTCTGAGGTAAAGAGATATTTTTGGGACGATCAATTCCTATACAAGCAATGTGCGGATGCCATGATCCGAAGATGTGTTCCAGAAATTGAGGTAAGCAACATTATTTCACATTGCCATGACTTACCCTGTGGTGGACATGCAGGCCCCTCGAAGACAATTGCAAAGATTTTGCAATGTGGATTTTATTGGCCTACGATGTTCAAGGATACCTATGCCTATGTCAAAGCATGTGATAGATGTCAACAGACTGGCAAAATTTCTAAGAAGAACGAGATGCCACTTAACAACATACTCGAGGTCGAGTTGTTTGATTTGTGGGGGATAGATTTCATGGGTCCGTTTCCCTCTTCTCATGGCAACCGTTACATATTGCTGGCTGTTGATTATGTTTCAAAGTGGGTGGAAGCAATAGCCACTCCAACCAATGATGCTCGGGCGGTAAGTAAGTTTTTCGCATAAACCACTGAAAACTCGAAAGTCTGTCCACTCTGTTAATAGGAGGGATGCAAGGAATTGATGCTACGAATGCCATAGCAAGTGAATCCCTAGCCCAGCTACTGATCTTATCGTCATCTGTATAAAGCATTTATCTACTGGTTTTTTCACTTTTCATTCATTGAATGACTTGATTCCCAAAGGATGAAGGAAAACTTCTAGTGTACCCAGTTGCAGGTCATACACTATATCTTGCACACGAGATAGAAAAGTAAGAGTTCGGGGAGTTGTCTGACAACCTTCCCAGTGAAAGTTTCTCAGTTCCAAGAGAAAGGAAGGGGCAAAGATAGACTTTCCACAGTAAGCGGAGATCCTTGTTAGTAGGGAAGATAACCCTCCACAGCTGTGGAAAGAAGAAGAAAGACGAAAGTACTCTAGCTTCGCCCCTTTCCTTATTGAAGGTTTGATTGATGTTACTGGTTCAATCCGGAGAAGGAAGAGAGTTATTTTCCCTCGTTTTGGTTTACCACGTGTTTTGATTAGTGATAGGGGAACACATTTCACGGAGCATCAGTTTGAAGAAATGTTGAATAAATATGGAGTACAACACAGACTTGGCATTGGCTATCACCCACAAACTAGTGTCCAAGTTGAAGTGCCCTACCGAGAAATCAAATCTATCTTGGAGAAAACGATTGCAAGGACAAGGAAGGATTGGTCAGTTAAGATTCATGATGCGCTATGGGCATACCGAACGGCCTTTAAAACGCCTATTGGTACAACCCCATATAGACTTGTGTATGGAAAGGCGTGCCACTTACCAGTCGAGCTAGAACACCGAGCTTTTTGGGCTATTAAAAGTTTGAACTTTGATGCCAAAGCGGCGGGAGAGAATAGATTGTTACAACTCAACGAATTAGATGAGCTTTGCCTCGATGCTTATGAAAGTTCAAAGTTGTACAAAGAAAAGACTAAAAGGTGGCATGATAAGAGTCTTGTGAGAAGGGAGTTCAAAGAAGGGGATCAAGTCCTTCTTTTCAACTCTAGGTTGAAATTATTCCCTGGTAAGCTTCGGTATAGGTGGTCGGGACCGTTCAAGATTAGGAAAGTCTTCCCATATGGCACTATTGAGTTGGAAAACACAATAGGGGAACCTTTCAAAGTCAATGGACAGCGAGTGAAGCACTACCGAGTGGGTGATCCCATCGACGAGGGGGTGGATATCACACTCTCGTCCCCATCACTAAGCTCCTGAGAAGCCATACGGTCAAGCTAAAGACCTTATAAACAAGCGCTAAATGGGAGGCAACCCATTCTTGAGTTTTTACTCTTATTTCGTTAATCTTTCTTTATTATTTTCTCTAATCTATTTTTTTTTTATTTGATTCTTATGTCTAGTTTTTGTTTTGTTTGTGGTGTTAATTTAGGTGAAAAGTAAGCAAAAAGAAGAAGAAACAAGGAGGAAAAGCGCTAAGAAGAAGGAAAAAGGGAGAGAAAAATCAAATCTGCAGAGGCACGTCCGTGCCCCTGAGGAGGCACGTCCGTGCCTATGAGGCAGAATGTTTGAGGGGTTGAATTTCTAGAGAGGCACGTCCGTGCCCCCAATTAGGCACGTCTGTGCCTCAAGTTTTCCGTATTCCAGTTTTTTTTATCACTTTTATTTTTCAAAAAAAAAATGCATAATTAGGCACGTCCGTGCCTACTCCGAGGCACGTCCGTGCCTCTGAGGCAGAATGTTTTGAAAATTTGTTTTTTGAAGAGACACGTCCGTGCCCCCCACAGGCACGTCCGTGCCCCCCCCCCCCCGAATAAAGAGGCACGGGCTCCCTCATTCTTTCATTCACCATTTTTTTTTTCAACTTTCAAACTCAAGAGTCTCTCTCTCCTCTCCTTTCACTCAAATTCTGCCAACCCCAATCAATTCTCACTTTGTTTCACAAATTTCTACAATAATCTTCAAGTTTTCAATCTTTCTACTCCAATCATACACTCCACCACCATCAAAAATCAATCCAAACTCCAATTTCTTGCAAATTTTCGAAGAACCCTAGGTTGAAAACCAATTTGGGGGTTTTTGATTGAAGGCTTTTTGGAGCAATTGGGAAGCAAGTAAGGGATTCTAAGGTGCTATTTGCAACTATTGTGGATCAATTGCGGGTATTAAACACCCACCACACCTTGGGTACCCTCTAATCTTGCACTTTCTCTCTCTAGATTTTTATGTTTAATTTGCTACAAATTTTTCATAGAAATTGTTTGAGTTAGTTAGTTGTGTTTGGTTTGTTTAATTTGTTTTGATAATCGTGATTAAAAGTTGGTGTAGTGTAGTTGTGAGATTTATTTTGCACTTAGTTGATTATTGTTGATAATTGTGAGTTGGTGATAAAGGTGGTTGATTAATTGACTGTTCTTTGTGCTTGAACTACATAAATTGTTGTGAACTTGCAATTATGGCCTCCTCCTCAAACCCAAGAAGAAACTGCCCTAGAAACACCTCTTCAAAAAACCTTAGAACCCCTCCCGTTCCACAACCTCCTCCCGTACCACTTGCCCACATTCCACCCATTGAGACATTCGGGATTGATTTCAAGGGAAATGAGGAATACATGAAGAACTTTCTTCGCCTTAGATCCCGAACTTTAGTGCCTACACGGTTCTTTGACCAAGAGGCTATGGAAACCTTAGGTATGGGAGGTGAGGTCCAACACATACTTAGCCGGCTAGGATGGAGTGGTTTCTTAGTCAAACATGCCAACACCTACTCCAACATTACATACGAGTTTCTTTCTACCATAGAAGTCCGTCGTAGACCCGACGGCCACACCCCTAGAGACGTTTCATTCAATTGTCTTGGTGAACGTCACACCCTTACGGTGAGGGAAGTTAATGTCTTGCTAGGCTTCCCCACCTTTGGCCAAATAGGTAGACCAAACTACACTAGGTTGTCTGGCTTCAGTGACCTTAACACATGGCCGGATTTGACTGGGCTAGAAGACTACAACCCTAGCCACTCTAAGACCTCATGCATCATCCACCTAGCCATGAGACTTATCTGTCGACTCTTTTCCTTGACCCTATTTGCTAGATGTAACACAGGGGGAGTTTGCTTGGCCAAGGAGCTTTATTTTCTATGGAATTTGTTAGCTCACCCCGACCCCACTAAGTATGATGACATGATCAACCCAGGGGAATGGTTTTTAGATCACCTATATAACGTAGCCATGGGGTCCGGGGACATTGCTATAGGTGGTATGCTTTCTTTGTTGGTTGTTGGCTATGTGCAGGATTTGGCAGGTTTGGACCAGTACAGGGTCGGAGGCCCCACCACACTGAGTTTTCAGAGCTTCCAGCAGATGAGCTGGGTGAAGAGACGCCCTCGGAACCAAGGCTACGAGTGGCTAGTCGGTCGTCCTACTCTACCACGACCGGTTCCCTATGCTTTCCTCCCGAAGCTCGGGATTCCTCCGGTGGCTGGGAGGGATACTTGGATTATCCCTCTTGATTTCATTTGGCCACCACAGCATATTCAGGGTGTCCCATTGCATGTGGGAGAGGAAGCCCTACTGCACACAGGAGAGGGCCATGAGCACATGGAGGAAGATATCCCAGTTTCAGGGCCGCAAGGTCCACCTAGCTTGGAGGAGAAAATTGCCTCCATGAGGGCCGACATGAAACATGTCATGCTTGGCATGGGAGACTTGAGGAGGGACGTCAGTGACACGCATAGGGTGGTCACAAACCTGTTGATGTCCCATGATAGCATGGCGACCACCTTCGGCGACCTGCGAGATCAGCTCGCCACCTTCCAAGTCGAGTTCTATGACATCGGGGGCATGATGCGACAACACTTTTAGGGCGGTCCTAGCACCGAGCCGAGGTATGGCTTTCCCCCCACCCCTCCTGATCAGTAGTTTACTTTTCCCTTCCCCTTGTTTATTTGCTTTGATTTATGCATACATTGAGGACAATGTATGATTTAGCTTGGGGAGGATATGCTTTTCACCTTGTATATATTAGATTTATTT